AAGGCTAGCACTCTACCACTTAAGGCACAGTACCACTTCTGGCTTTCCTGTGTATTTGGTACTGAGGAATCAAACCCAGGGCTTCATGCATGTGTGGCAAGCAGTCTATCACTGAGCCACATTCCCAGCGCTGCTCCCCCTGCCTATTTCAAGTGCTTACAGGAGGTACTGCTGGCATGAGCTAAAGTTTTCACCAACCAAACGGTGAACCAGATGCTCCTCCATGGTGGGTATGGAGGCTAGAGTCAAGTTCCACCCACAAGTCCGATGGATACCCAGACCTTCAGGAGGCCACCCCATAGGGTCATCGCCCCTTTCTAGCAGGAAGCAACTTCAGAAGAGGGATCACTATCTCTTTTCCTGGCCAATAACAAGGAACAGATTAAGTGGGAAATGCAACAACGTACAACAAAGGGGCCCATCGGCTGCACTGGACATAGAAGGACAAGAACTAAGCAACCCAAAGACAGCGATGGGAAGGGAGGAAAGAGGGAAAGAGGGAAAAAGGGAAAAGTAATCATTCCCTGAGGCGGAAGAATTGATTTCTATTGTCAAAGATGCTGGAATTCACAACTGTATAGACCATGATAATGACAATTTGCCTAGTGAAGGTTAAAATGTGATTGTGACTTTAACTAAGTGTCACTATTGCACAACACTGTGAAACATGTGAACTTTAGGTAATCACCTAATCTCAAATTAAAAGAAAAAGTGAGAAAAGGGATGGGTTAGGAGTGATGGGTGATGATGTTGGTCAGGCCCTTGTACTCATGTGCTGTTTTGTAGAATGGAAACTTCTTTGTACAACTACTTAAAGATATAATAATAAAAAAAAAAGAAAATGAGGGCTGGGAAGGTGGCTCAGTGGTAGAGCGCTTGCCTTGCATGCTCGAGGTCCTGGGTTGGATTCCTCAGCAGCACATAAGCAAAAAGAAAAAAGCCGGAAATGGCGCTGTGGCTCAAGTGGTAGAGCGCTAGCCTTGAGCTGAAGAGCTGAGGGACAGCGCCCAGGCCCAGAGTTCAGGCCCCACGACCGTTAAAAAAAAAAAAAAAGAAAATGAGAAAAAGGTGGAATGTTCGCAGGTGTGAAGTCATTCTGTGAGGCCTACATTCCCCCAGGCCAAAGTTCTGTCTGCCCCGGGGCCATGTCTGCCTGCCCCTAAGCCCAAGCTCTGTCTGCCCCGAGGCCAAGTCTGCCTGGCTCTTTGTGTCTCCAGGTTGCTCTGGCTTGGCCACTAAGGTTAACCCTGCCTCCCATTCTCAACACAGTTCCCCCCATCTCTCTCAGTCTCCTTCCTAGAAATACCCTCCGTAGCTTAAGGGCAGCTGCTTTTCTCTGTCCTGATGGAGGAGAGACTGTCTTTTTTTTGAGTGTGTGTGTGTGTGTGTGTTTGTGTGTGTGTGTGTGTGTGAGAGAGAGAGAGAGAGAGAGAGAGAGTGTGTTTGTGTGTGTGTGTGTGTGTGTGTTGTTCCTGGGGCTTGAACTTAGAGCCTGGGTGTTGTGCCTGAGCTATTTTGCTCAAGGATGGTGCTTTACCACCTGAGTTACACCTCTATTTCCAGCTTTTTGCTGGCTCATTGGAGGTGAGAATCTCATGGACTTTCCCCTCCCAGACAATTGATGAAGAATGAGATCAGGGTCTTGGAACAAAAGAAATAAGGTTTATTAATTCTGTCAGACAAAATGAGGACTTTGTGGGCTATTATCTCAGAAGAAACTTATACCTGAATATGCTCCTGCCTGGAGTTTTACTTAAGAAGGAGCTTCTGTGTGAGTGTGAGTGTGTTTGTGTGTGTTCAAAGTAGTATTTTATTTGGAATTTGAAAGGTTATAAAAATATTCATTACAAACTGTGCTATATAACAAAATAACTACAAACCATAAACATCATATACAAAATAGAAATTACAAAAACTTCTTACAGTTATAAGAATAATAGAAACAATGTAATTCAATATAATACATGTACAGATTATTGTTGCTTTAGAGTACAAGCTGGCTCCGTAATTCTATAATGCTTCTCGGGAGGCTGAGGTCTGAGGACTGTGGTTGAAAGCCACCCTAAGCAAGAAAGTCTGTGAGCCTTATCTTCCATTAACAACCACCAAACCAGAAGAGGTAATGTGGTTTTCAGTGGTAGAGTTTTAACCGGGAGCACAAGAGTTCAGGGACAGTGGCCAGGCCCTGAGTTCAAGCTCCATGACGACAAAATTAACTGTGGACTCTCTCATGCTGCTTTACGTGATCAGCTCTTGCAAAATTCTTGTTGCATTTGGTACACAGGTAGGGCCGATCTTGGCTGTGTGTCCGTTTGTGTCGTTTGAGTTCATCTGAGCGGGAGAACTTCCACGTACAGCCCGTCACATCGCACACATAGGGCTTCTCCCCAGTGTGTTTGCGATTGTGGATCTGGAGGTGGGAAGGCTTTAAGTAGGATTTGCCACAGCCTGGGTATGTGCAGACATAGGGCTTCAGTCGGGCAGGCTCCTGTGGGAGCTGGAAACTCTGGGTCTTGAGGGCCCACTTGTCTGGGGCTTGTCCTTGCGTGGAAGGGGATCTTGAGACGTGGACGAGTTGTGGGCATGTCAACGACAGAAGTTGCTGAGTCGGCACAGAGTCCCAGGAGAGGTTCTGGGTACTATTGCAGGTGATTACATGACCACTACAGAAAGCATGCTTAGCAAGAAAAGCCATTGTCTGTTCCTCCAAGCTGGTCTGGACACCACTGGGCACTGGCATCTGTCCTCCACAGAGGGTCTGGACACCACTGGGGATTGGCATCTGTCCTCCATACATGGTCTGGACACTACCAGGGATTGGCATCTGTCCTCCATTGATGGTCTGCTCAGCACCGGGCAGTGGCATCAATTCTTCATAGATGGTCTGATCACCACCGGGGACTGGCATCAGTCATTCATAGATGGTCTGGACACCCGTGGGAATTGGCATCTGACCCACATTAATAGTCTGGTCACCACCGGGGACTGGCATCTGTCCTCCACTGACGGCCTGGTCACCACCGGGAACTGACATCTGTCCTCCATACATGGTCTGGTCAACACCGGAGACTGGCATCTGTTCCCCATTGACGGTCTGGTTATCACCGGGGACTGGCATCTGACTCCCATTGATGGTCTGTTCACCAACGGGTGTTGGCATCAGTTCTCCATAGATGGTCTGGTCACCACCAGGGATTGGCATCTGACCCCAATTGATGGTCTGTTCACCACCGGGGGTTGGCAGCTGACCCATATTGATGGTCTGGCCAAAACTGGGGATTGGTATCTGTCCTCCATTGGTACTGTGGTCACCGCTGGGATCTGGCATCTGTCCTCCATAGATGGTCGGGTCACCTCCGGGGACTGGCATCAATCCTTCAGAGATGGTCTGGTCACCACCAGGGATTGGCATCTGTCCTCCATTGATGGCCCCGTCACGATTGGGGACTGACATCTGTCCTCCGTACATGGTCTGGTCACCACTGGGGAGTGGCATCTGTTCTTCCTTCATGGTGTGTTCACCACCGGGGGTTGGCATCAGTCCTCCATAGATGATCTGGTCACCACTGGGGGCTGGTAGCTGACCCATATTGATGGTCTGTTCAATATTGGGGATTGGTATCTGTCCTCCATTGATGGTGTGGTCACTGCTGGGATCTGGCATCTGTCCTCCATAGATGGCCGGGTCACCACCGGGGACTGGCATGAATCCTTCAGAGATGGTCTGGTCACCACCAGGGACTGGCATCTGTCCTCCATTGATGGTCCCGTCACAATTGGGGACTGTCATCTGTCCTCCATACATGGTCTGGTCACCACTGGGGAGTGGCATCTGTTCTCCGTTGATGGTCTGGTCACCACCGGGGATTGGCATCAGTCGTCCATTGGTGGTCTGGTCAGCAGTGGAGGCTGGCGTCTGACCCCCATTGATGTTTTGCTCACCACCGAGGGCTGGAGAAGGCATCACCTGGCTGTGGGTTGGACTGTGCCAGTTGCTCTCCCCAAAGTCGGTCAGAGGTATGGAGGGATGTGATTCTAGACAAGTGGAGATGTTGGCATAGTCTCTATAGGGGTTAGAGAAGCTCTCAAGAGACTCTTCCATGTCTTCCAGTGTCTCAAGGAAAGTAGACATCTCTTTGCTGTTGTCCCCACCGGGGTCTGGCATCTGACCCGCATTGATGGTCTGCTCACTACCAGGGATCGGCGCTTGTCCTCCACACACGGTCTGGCCTCCACCAGGGATTGGCATCAGTCCTCCCCTGATGGTCTGGTGTCCACCGGGCACTGGTATCTGACCCCCATTGATGTTCTGCTCAATCACCGAGGGCTGGAGAAGCTCTCACCTGGCTGTGGGTTGGATTGTGCTGGCTGCTCTCCCCAAAGTCGGTCAAAAATATATCTGTATGCGATTTCTAAAATAGTGGAGACGTTGGCATAGTCTTGATATGAGTTAGAGAGGCTCTGGAGAGACTCTTCATTTTCTTCCAGTGTCTCAGGGAAAGTAGACATCTCTTTGCTGTTGTCTGACAGTGGAGTCAG